TTAACCAACTTTCATCTGTCACATTTGACTGAGGATGTCTTTTGAATAAAGACGAAACGTCTCAAACAGAAAATAGTCGATTTTCATGATGAAAAAGCTTGTGTATCTCTTATTATCTATATTGAAATTCTTCACCTTACAAAATGACTCAACTTTTAACTTGTTTTCTTATAGTATTTGAAACGCTTATCTGTTTATGATCTTATTTTTATTTTAGCTATCTTCATTTCATAGAAAATGGAATTTTTATTGTGATTCTCTGCAACGTCAAAAAAAGTGTCTCGCCCCCTTTTGAGTCTACTGTGGAGTTAACAAGTATTTTAAGTCAAATATTTTTCCATGAAATAAGTCACCAAAGTAGGCACTGTCGATTGTTGAAAATCGAAAGTTACCAGCTTTTTTCACTTTTTGAGTAATTGACATTTTACTGACGTTCACTGACTTGTGACACACAATTTGTCCCACCTCATTTTAGACTATATCCTGACCAAACTGCATGGAATGAACACCTCATTTTTTAACATACGTGTCAAATGGGTAGCACAACTTATGTTGTAAATATCAAGACTTCGGCTTATTTCTAAAAGGAGTTTGAAAAATACAGTGAAATGTTCCACCTCTTTCCAAAACTATAAAACCTACAAATATCAGTATATAAAGACTTCTTAAAACTCAAATTAGAACCGCTTTGTATTTAGAGATCAATGATAAAAATTCCAATTAACTGTTCGTCTACATTTTGTAATGTGTGCAAAAAATGACAAAAACTACAAAAAAAGTCTTCAAGAAGTCCCAGATCTCACGAACCAGGCAAGAAGACATTTCTGTGCTGTTTCTGAATAAGCCATTCGAAAGAAGATCTCTTGAAACCTATAAAATCATGTTGTTTTAGCACAATCTTCATTTTTACAATCAAATAAAGTAAAAGATCCATTAGTGACTTGTCACAAACCTTTCTTTCTCTAAATCAAAAGAAAAAGAAGAAAAAACTGGTAGTTTGCGAAACTAATTGCTGTTACATTCTGAAGTATTCGATGTCCGCTTATGACACAATTAAGTGAGGCCGTTTACTTTTTTTTGGATCATTTTTTGGAAAAGAATGATACAATAAACAGCAGAATCACTCGTATATATTCCATGATTTTCATCTTTTAAGGAGAAAGGAGATAGGTTTCCGAGAAAAAGTCAGGAAAATTGACGTCTTTCAACTTTGAGCAGCCCCGGAAAACTTCTGTTCGTACTGGAACCTTGAAATATAGTTTTCTGTATCCAGTTTTTGACACTGAAAAAGAAAAACGCCTTTTCAATGTTCTAGAATCAGACCGAAATACGATCGATATAACGGTGTTTTCAAAACTTAGAGATTTTTCGAAAAAACGGCAACTTCCAATTTTTTGAATTTTTTTCACGGAAACATGCACTGGAAAGGCTAGAAGATAGATATTCGTAATCAGCGTTAAATTCTGTATCGAATGTTGTATATTTGAGTCACAAGACAAAATAGTACTGTAACCTTGAATTTGGAGCGCCGTACTAAATTTCAGATCCATTGGAAAATAACTTAAATGTGAAGTATTAGCAAAGGGACGAGATGGATAACAATTTCAGTTTCAAATAAAACATGTCCTAGTGCTTCTGAAGCTAGTGATGAGTGAAGGAAAGACAATGCTATAGAATGATCGAGCAATGTTGAAAATAAACTATTGTTTATAATGCAGTACCAATATGAACTCTCTTCAAATGTTTTGATTTTATTGTATGACATAACTTGTCTGCTATATAATTTTACTGTTGGACTTTCCAAATGTGTTTCCTTAAATTTTTCATGCTCTTTTTTAAGTTGTCGATACAAATGTTGAACAAAGAACCCAAAGAAAAACATAACTTCAATGTTATGTTGTCTTAGTGCACGATTCAGAAGATGATAGAGAGATGTAGGCCGGATATACCATCAAATAGCTTCGTCTGCTGCGTAGATTATATCAAATTCGTGTCAATTTATAATCATCTGGATATAGCAAATACCACAAAAGGTGTATGTAATGGATCCACCAGAACCCAGTTTTATCTGTTGTATTATCTCGTCTTCCCAATTTAGTAAAGATTTCATCTTTTTCATGTTTTAAGTATCCCCGAACATCTTTCTTCATATCAATCGATAATTCATCAAGTATTGTAATTTGCTTTATTTTATGATCCGTTTTTTATGATTCTTTGTACTTTAACAATAGCAATTTTAACAAGAATAGGTACAGTGGGCGATCTAATCGGTGAATAAAAGTGAATCGATGAGAAACGAACTCATTATTTTCCATAGTAAACTCCTTCCCATAATAGAAGACCATCCCCTAGCAGAAGACTACTACAAGTGATTTTTCTGAGGCCCTCTTTACGATCGAAAAATCGACTTGAGTTGGACGTCAAATTGGAAGACGAGGGTGGTCCTCTATTATGCGAAGGGGTTTAAAAAAAAGTAAACTCTGATAATCGGATGTCAATGACTGTTTGCAAAATTTGTGTCATCCAGTCTACTCACTATTTTCTTTGTTGATGATTCATTTGGTTTCTCTTTTTGTTTGAACTGATAACAGATTTTTTGTATACTTTGATTAGTAGAAGGGCACTAAAAAAAGAAAGTACAAAATCAAGAAGCAGAAAATGGTAGCTAAACTATTTATATTTTCAGTAGTAATTTTATGTATATTAAACAAAATTAAAATTAGTTCCACGTTAGATTGTTACCAATGTGGTGTAAATAGTGGTTATAATGAATATCCATACATAATTACACTGGATAATATTCCAGAATTTAAAAATTGTACGGTGGTTTCTACTGATGAACCTTGTACTATACAATTTCGGTTTCAAGGTGCATATCAGATTAATGCAACCACAATTGTAATCAGCGATGAAACCGAACATTATTATAATTCAAGTCTAATCAGAACAACCGTGAGTTATTCGGGAGGCATGGGCCAAGATTCCATCGACCATGAATTAGAATATTTCTGTTATGAAGATAAATGTAATGATCCAAAAAAATTAAAATTATTATTACAATCGGCCACAGTAGAACCGTTTACAAAAGATCAAATAAAATGGCTCATAGTTCCAACTTCCCCACCTTCTATACCAATTCCATGTATGCATCACAATAACTGGACATCATTGGACTCGGATTGTATAGATGAAGACGTGGAAGTATGTCAGTCTTGTAATACGGACATTGTAGGATCGATAACAACACAAGTTTGTGCTGTATGTTCTTATGGTCCACTATTTGCTAACTCTTATTATGACGTATCACAGCAATTTCTTTATGGTAATCGAGATCGTGTACGTCAGTTACATGTCCAATGCACAGTTCCAAATTGTAATACGATTGCTTCGATCGAAGGCATTAAAAAGTTATATAAAAATGAAATTGATGTCAAGATATTTTTAAATGAAACAACATCAAGGGCAATAATAAAATGTAAATCAATATCTGTTATTGCTATTTTATTTTGGACACTTTTAGTAAGATTTAAAATGGAATAATCATACTTTGCTAACATACAAAAGATACTTATGGAGTTGTTTTATTTTTGTATAGCTAGAAAGTACATGAGAAAAAACAAAAAGACATTTGATTAAGCTAACGTCTCACACATGGCACATCAGTCGCCCATACTGTCACCGAAGTTTATGTTGATTATTGAACGACTTTTAGTCTGTTCTTAGGCATGTGTATGGGGATAACATTTCGTACCCGGGAACCATAGTAATTAAAATAAACCTGAGGTTAGATTCGTACAAATCTGTTAAAAAATACTAGCCTGGCTCCAAGTCCCCTAAAAGGACAGTTTCCTAAGAATCCAGCATCTCTAAAAATCCTACTGTTTTATAACTTGTCCAAAACATGTTTTCGCATTTGCACTTTTCATTATAACGTTACTATAAGAAAAGGATTTCTAATTTCAGAAATTCGAATTTAGAAACACCAGTAATGTGCACTAGTGTTTAGAGTTGTCACGGCTATGAAATACATACTATTAGATTTCTCAATGCTACTTTCTTCAAAGGAGGAATTTAAATTTTGTGAGCAAAAGTGAATTTTTGAAAAATGAAATTCATCTTTTTTGGCTTCTTTTTCAAGGTTCCTGAAAGCAAACAATATCACATCTTGCTCCGTTTTTCTGTCCTTTCAAATGAGTCATTGTCAAAAAATTCAGACACATTGAACGTGTTAATTATAAAAATGCCATTATTTTGAATTTTTGATGGAACTTCTGCTCATATGACAGTGTTTCACGATGTTTTCGCTAAAGCTCGCTTAATTTTGTAGAATTGAGCCATTGTCTGATGTAATAGTCCTGAAAAATCATTCGACTAACAGAACGCCGATATAAAGTCTGATACGCTTCCAAAAATAGCAAATATTACAAAAGGTGTATGTAACGGATCCACCAGAACCCAGTTTTATCTGTTGTATTATCTCGTCTTCCCAATTTAGTAAAGATTTCGTCTTTACGAAAGTTAAAGTTTTCAAAGTTAAGGAAGGGTAATCTTGCTTTATACCATTATATCTCACATCCATCTAACTGTGGGTACTTGCAATCTCTTCACTGACCTACACTTCTGGCATAGTATATGCACACAAATATAACACATCTGTAGCGCTGCTTGACATCCGATGGAGTCAGAGCAAGTCAAGTCAAAAATGCCTAACGAGGGAACTTCTCGAGGTTATAAATCGCTTTTGAACTCGGACTACTTGTATCTTGTAGACCTCAGTGAGTAGTGAAATACCCTAAGTTGGTTCATCCCCACGGTGCTTTGTTACTGAGATATTGAATTTTTAGTCAGTTTTTGCCTATAGAGCTTGGATTTCGAGCAAAATTCGACTTTCGAATTTTGACTTG